GATGTGTGAGGGGAAAGAGGGGATGTGTGAGGGGAACGGGGGCATCGGGGAGATGTGTGAGGGGAACGAGGAGGTCGGGGGTATGTGTGAGGGGAAAGGCGGGATGTGTGAGGGGAAAGAGGGGATCGGGGGGATGTGTGAGGGGAAACGGGGGATCGGGGGCACAGGGAGCGATCCTGGGGGGACGGATCGTGCCGTCAGGGGCCGGGGAGCCGCGGAGGGAGCCCGAGAGGAGGTCGGGGATCCGCTGGGTGCGGGGGCGGCCGAGCGGGGAGAGAGAAGAACCTTGAGGGAAAAGGCGCGGGATCCGCGGGGGCCGCTGGCCCTGTTCGTGCGAACCCTGCGAGTTTTATTGAATATTCTATCGAAAGCGGAGTTTTACGGGCGGAACAAAAGCCTCTGCGGCAGGAAGACCCGTAAGCACAGTTAGGGTTTGGGTTTGTGAGCCCTCCGACCTCGCAAAGTGGATTTCCCATCTTTTCTCATTGAAACCTGCCTCGGCCATTTATGTCCTCCTGGGATGATTGATTTTTTTAAGGACACTTGTCCATGAAACGGAGGAGCTGTGAGGAATGTAGAATATAGCACTTTTAAGAATAATAGCTGTTAAAAATTTAAATAACTAGTTAAATGCTAATTGCATTATAGTGCAAGACTGGTGAGGTGGAAATGGTTATTACTGTGGTTGAGATTTCTTGAATTCTGTATCTGTTATGGGCTTTTTTCTAAAAGCAGTGCCCCTATGCTGCAGCGAGTTCAGCATGGGTCAGACTTTACATGTAGATGTACATGAGGGTCTTAAATATAGTGGACTTCACATCTGCAGCTGTAAACAATACCAATCTCGTGGTTTGAAAATCCTCAAAGAAGGAGCCTGAGCACAATATGTATTTCTAGTTAAGCTGTATGTGCTTTAACGGTATCACCTTTGCTCTCCCCATAACAGAATATTTTTCCTTGGGGGACTCTTGAAGAAATCTTGGTGAAATCATGGATGGTAAGGAGGAAAATACTCTTTTACTTTCAGCAGGAAACTTGTCTTCTGATCCAGGGTGTTAGTTAATAAGTTCAAGTGTTCAGAAGACTTGGTAAACCTTTTAGCAAAAGACATTACATTGCACTGACTTCATTTGCAGAGGCCTTTGAACCTTCCTTCTTGTCGCTTTCTTGTGAGGCTGCTCTGTCCCGTCCCTGGTTTGGTGCTTTCCTCAGCAGCAAAGGCTAAATCAGTTCCTTTGCTTAGAATTTCCATTTAGAATTTTAGATTTGCTTAGAATTTTAGATTTGCTCTGTCTGTCCTGTTCTTCTCTCTGCACTTGATGGTCTTTTTTCCATTATTCACCCGTTTGGTCCATATTTCTTTGTTCTCCGTGTTCTTCCATGAGCAAGCTATATCTGAGAAGATGCTTTGTTGCCTGCCTTTCCTCTTCCCCTTCCATTGGCAAAAGCAACATGGGTGTTGGCTACACCTTTACAGGTTCCAGTTCTTTGTAACAGTACTGTACAAGCAGCTGCACAGGAGGAAAAGTCAGTGCTGAGTTACCTGGCAAGTTTTCTGCTGACTGGCCAGGCTGTATCACAGGATGAGTGTCTGCAACCACATTTCCACCTGACCGGACAGCAGGAAGCTGCTCTGTCTTCCTTTAGCCAAAGCTGAAGTAGTTTTTAAAAATGCCGCTCTGAGCTCGCTGCTCCAATTTAGTTTCAGCTGTCATTAGCTTTTAGTTAGAGTGTCTTGGATCCTTTTATTCCTTGGCAGTTTTCTTCTAACCGGGCGGGAATAACTCTGAGTTTAATTTTTGCCTCAGCTGATGATGACTTGGACCTGTTGGCTTCCCTCCTGGAAGAGAGTGAAGCAACTGAGG